TTATTTTGTTATTTATTAGAATATATTATTTTACAATTTAAATTATTTTAAATGATAAAATAAAAATTTATTTGAAAACAATTCAATAATAAGGTTTCCTCTTATTTAAAGATTATTATTTTATAATTTAAAATTTAAAATATTTTTTTGTATTTATTAAATAATCAATATTTTTCAAAAAAAAAATAAAAAGTTTGGTTTTGGAATTTTGTGGAACTGCTGACTTGGAAATTCCAAGTAAGTGATTTTGCTTACTTGGACTGGAGTGGGTCCCACAAGTTGTGTTGTGCTCTGTGTTCACGAAGGAAGAAAGAAAACAAACCCTTTTCGCGACGCCGTCTAATTGAAAGAATTCTAGTGATTCGCGATCATCGTCGAGTTCGTGAACCTCGTCGCCATGGCTCTCACACTCCATGATGGTGGCGGGCGGCAAACGGTATCAAAAAGTGCAAACCCACTTATTGCCGATGACAGGCGGGTTCTTGTTCCTGATCTCGTTGCTGGGGCTGACGCTACATTGCGCAGAAACTATTTCGTGGTTCCCATCTATTGGACCGCGATGTTCTTCCTCATCGTGGGACTCATCATCTTCATGGACTTTACCACATTCGTTATTCTGGTTACAAAAGATGCCGCTAGAAAGGAGTTTTCCACAAAAGGGTGTTCGTAGCACAGGACCGTTGATTACAGCAGTTAGTTGAAGAACCATTTTGGCAATGGGAAGAAGAAGAATCTATTTTGGAGTTTGCTTGATGGACTGAGGACACCCATATCTGTTACCGCGATACAGGTATTTGTTAAAAAAAAAGGTTATATTTTTCCGTCATGTGAAATTTGGTTTGATTCTTTGATGAAATAACTGACATTTAAAGTGCTTGAAGGTTGAGAGTATAGGAACTAAAGTATTTAAAGTTAGAGGGTTTAGGGACTGATAGTGCCATTATCTCTTTTGTTAATTGTGATAAGCTGTGATTTTGCTCAAATGCTTTTTCTTCTTTCTTTTTGGTATATGGGTTATACAACAGGGATCCCCTTCCCAAACCCCTCATCACTCATCAGGATTTGAACTTGAGATCTCTAACATTGAGACTCAAATTTTTAACCATTGGGACATCCCTAGGGGACATTTGAACTAGGCATTTAGAGTTAGAGTTGGAAAACTTCACACTAAGATATCATTTTAGGAGCTAACTGTCAATGAGTCAGAATCTACTAAGTTTTGATGGTTTAGACTTTAGAAGTTCAAAAAGTTCCTTTTAATTGTTCGTTTGATGGCATTTCGGACTGCAAATCAAGAACAGCAACCATTCCATATATTTTATTCAGATTGCAAAATAAAGGTTCCTTTAATCTTTTATGCTAGGGAAGAAAGGTATGGAATCAAGGGTTTTAATTTTAAAAGATGGCGATGCCTGTGTTTGGTTTTGTGCGTATTTTTTAGACTTCATATTTATATTGAAAAATAGATTATAAAAATCAGTATTTTATCAAGGAAAGCTGTTATTGGAAGCTGATATTTTTGCTGAGGAAAAGATTTTTTGATTTATGGTAAATAAGGCATGTGGAACCTAGATGATGATATGGCTGCCGAGT